CCAGAAGTGGCACTGTGGCTCAAGTGGTAGAGCGCTAGCCTTGAGCTGAAGAACTGAGGGACAGTGCCCAGGCCCAGAGTTCAAGCCCCATAACTGGCCAAAAAAAAGAAATAAAGAAATAAAGAAAAAAGAAATAAAGAAAGATAGAAAGGAAAAGCAACAAAGCAAGGAAGGAAGGAAGGAAGGAAGAAAGAAGGAAAGAAAGAAACAAAGAAAGAAAGAAAAAAGGAAAGAAAGAAAGAAGCACCCATCCCTAATACCAATCACATATTCAAGTGCTGGACCCCAAAGATAGCCTATCAAGCCACAAGGATGGTCAGAAAGCCCTGCCCCCAAACAGGGTGTGACCAGAAGATGGCCTGCAATCTACTCAGAACAAAGTTTCTCAAGGCAGATGCCCAGAACATTCTTCATATTGGCTATCTGTTATTTAGGTTGTCTGGCACTTGCATAAGTATTTTCCAACTTTCTTCCAACTCTTCTCTTGGTGGGGGACACCCAGGTCATCTGGGCTAGGAATGAAGTTATGAGCAAAGACCCCATCTGACCCCATCTGACTCTCTCCACTGTCCATGGTGCGGGGGGGGGGGAGAGAGGGGCGCACCACCCACCCCCATAAGAGAGGGGAGGAAACAGAGCTTCCTGAGCTGACAAAGTGGCTGAATGGAGATTCAAAGCCCTCTATCCTCCTGGGCCTCAGTTTCCCCATTCAGTTAGGAAGGTGGTTGGAATACAGGTTACTGAGGTTATCTTCAAACTCTGGCATTCTTTGAATGTGAGGATATTCCTGGGGATGTTGCTACTATCTTATCTCACATATAGTTTTTGGCTCTCTGACCATCGTGGTACATACCTGTTCTTTTTATTTTTATTTTGTCACTCATGGGGCTTGAACTCTGGGCCTGGGCACTGTACCTCAGCTCTTCAGCTCAAGGTGAGCATTCTACACTTGAGCCACAGTGTCACTTCTGGTTTTCTGAGTGGTTAATTGGAGATAAGAGTCTCACAGCCTTTCCTGCCCGGGCTGGCTTTGAACCACGATCCTCAGATCTCAGCCTCCTGAGTAGCTAGGATTATAGGCATAAGCCACCATGCCCAGCATGTTAGAGTTTTTTTTTAATGTAATAAATAATGAGTGAGAGGGGTTAGAGTGGAGAGCAAGTGTTAAAGAGCACAGATTTTTCTTTCTTCTATTTATATGGAACTAGGATCTGAATTCAGGGCCTACCTGTGACTTGCTAGGTAGGTGCTCTAGCACTTGATCCATGCCACCAGCCTAGATAGACTTTTCTTTTGGAGATAATGGAAATGTTTTAGAACCAGTCAGAGGTGGCAACTGTAGCACGCTGTGAGTTTGCTAAGTGGCACTGAATTATACAATTTAAATTGGTTAGTATGTATTACATTCAATTTTAAAAGTAACTGTCACGTTCTCTCTCACTCTTCAAATACTTTATGATTTCACATTGCTTCAGAATTAAAGCCATTCACTGGGAAACGGCTTTCACATATTGACCATGCTCTCTATCTGACCTGGTAAGTGCAAACTTCAAATGCGCAGGTTCCTGGGCAGTTCTGACCTCTGGTCTTCACACCCCTGCCCAGACTCCCCTCCCTGCCTCCCTGCAAATCCCTGGCTGTCTCCTATTGTTCTCTAGAACTCAAACCACCAAGGGAAGTAAGTGCACATGGACTTCTCTTCCATGTGTACAAGCCAATATGGCAGCCATGACTCCAACCTTGAAGTGTGGATAGTGAGACTGAGGGATTGATTCGAACTTAAGTTTCATTTACTAGTGTCTGCCAAGCTGTACGTCATCCAAAGGACTTACTAAATGCAAGATGTGCCGAGTGCGGTGGTGCATGCCTATAATCCCAGTACCAGAGAGGCTGAAGCAGGAGGAATGAGAATTCAAGAATAAGCTGGGCTAGATGGTGAGTTCCAGACTTTGTCTCAAGTTAACAATAATAATAATAATTAATTAATTAACAATGATAATGCCACAGCTTGCCGGGTCCATCCCATAGAGGAATTTACATTGCTATCAAGCCCTGGGTTTGTGCTAAGGATGCTTGCTAGTTGGGGACACATCTGATGAGCAGTAGTGGGAATGGAAGTTGTGGCCTGCCTCCCAGTGACCGCAGGCCTGCCTGGGCGACATGGGTGCTCTTGGCTAGCTGTTCTCTGATGGATGTGGTCGTGATTACCAGCCACATTGGCATCACCTGAGCAGCACTGCAAATGCAGACCGGCCCTCCCCACCCCAGACTTCCTGAGACAGAATCCAGGTCCTGCCTTTTAGCAGAATCCCCAGGACTGTCTGCACATCTCAGCCTGAGAAAAAGTTGCTTTACACCATCTATCACTCCTGCAGGCCAGGGCCTTTGTTGACCTTGGATCTCCAGGATTGTGCACAGCTCTTCAAACATAGTAGGTACTCAATAAAAGGATGGATGGGGAAAAGTAGGTGCTTGATATATGCTTGTAAGAGTCAAAAAAGGAGGAAGAGGAGGAGAAAGGAAAGGAGGAAGGGGACAGAATGGAAAGTTGCCCAGCTAGCCAACTTATTTCTTATCTGGCAAAGAGGTTCCAAGTGACCAGGACCCCACTCTATATCCTGAAACTAGAGTCACTATCTCAAAACCAATTCTTAAAGAAGAAAGAGTCCAATAAGGTATTTTCCAGACAGAAGCCAAGCAGGTCACCTTCTTAGGGTGCACAGGAAGGTTCTAAATCAAGACCCTTCTAAGCTTTCTGAATGAGCCTTGCATGCAGCTGAGATGATAAATGTAAGCCACCCCACCTAGCTCAGCTATTTCTCATCATCTTCTGCTATGAGCATCTTGTAGATAAATAATGTGCTTGGCTAGTTTTTTTTTCTTTCCTTAAGACAAATGCTTTCCCGAGCAAGCTAGGCATTGAAAAGCACATGAGCATTTTTCAAGAGCTTTGTTCTGTGTGCCTCGCTCTCCCCAGCTCAGCTCCAACAGTCACAGTCCCTGTGAGGAGCTTTCCTAGAGCAGATGGGAGCTGAGCTGGAGGCTGGAGGCTGGACAGCCTGGAAGGCAGCCTGGTGTAGTGGGGCCAGCACCATTTCACCACAGGGACAAGCCCGGCTCCATCTCACAAGCTGTGTGGCCCTGGAAAAGTGACTTCACCTTTCCAAGCCTCTCTCTTCATCTATAATCAAAGCTCTCTCTACATACCTTTCCCTGGTGTAGGGGTTTAGAGACACCTTGTATAGTTGTGCACTAAATATGCCCTGGAATGAATAAAGTGAATGAATAGTTGGATGGAGAGAGAAGAGGAGAGGAGGAGGCAGGAGGAAAGCAAAGACAAAGTGAGTTTCTTAGGGGCTTGGGTTTTTTTTTGGGGGGGTGGCAGGGGGCTCAGCAGGGAACACAGGGAGCAAAGATAGCAGGGTGGTCCAGGCTCATCAGATGCTCCCTCCAGCCCCACTGGCTTCTTCTCGATGTCTGGGGAGGCCAGGCCCATGTTGCTCTTTCACAGAGAGGCCCCTAGGTCTGGTCAGCCTTCCCAGAGGCAGAATCCCCTCCTCCCACACTGACTAACCCCAGCTGAGCCTCTAACCTTGATGGGTTTGCCACAGACCGGTGAAGGGACCCATGCTGCCTGCCAGCTCACACTTCTGAGCCCATGGTCCATTGTCACCTAGAAAACCAAGGAAAAAGCAAAAGGGGATGGTGAGTGGGCAGGGAAGCTTCCACATTTTCTCCCTCCCTGGCCCCATATCCCTGGCACACAGCACGACTGGACCAAAGGACTTGGAAAAGCAAATAGGAACCCTAACTTTATAAAGACATGCTCCTGCCTGGGGTAGTGGTATATGCCAGGAATCTCTACATTTGGGAGGCTGAGGCAGAAGGATCTTCCGTTTGAGGCCAGCCTGAGATAAACAGAAAGAGTTACTCTGTCTCTCTGTGTCTCTCTGAGACAGTCTCCCTAAGTAAGTCTAGATGTTACTGCCTCAGCTTCCCAAGTCTTGGGTTATAGGGATGTGCCACCATGCCCAAGTAAAATCATTTCTCAAAAAAAGACAAAACAATAACAACAACAATGTAGTGTCCTTGATAGGAGCCTGTCTGTTCTGGGCTCTGCACTAGAGGCCAGCTTTCTCTGCCTAGGGTTCCCCACCTTGAGCCTCTGGTCTAACAGCCCTGTGCCTGTTCATACAGTTTTAGCAACCCCATTTGCTATGTCATCAGCGTCCGTCTCAGTCCAGCAACTGTTTACTGAGCATCTGACACACACTCTGTTCTTCACATACAGCATCTTAGAACCTCCCACTGTGTTGTGGAGTACGCGCCATTATTTATGAGCTCATTTCCCCACATTTAGAAGATTAAGCCAACTCTCCACCACAATGAAATGCAGATTCAGATCCAGATCTCAACTTGACCCACAGCTAATCAGCACCTCTGGGGCCAGCCAGGCGCAAGCTCTGTCAGTACAAACCTTTCCAGGACTTGGCCTTGGAGGATCCAACAGACACATACTCGGCATTCAAGCCAACAAACATTCAGGGCCCCAAGTTCAAAGGGAACCCCTGCTCTGTTTGCAAAGCTTGTTCTGATCAAGCTCAGCTCTTCCCAGGGTGTCCCCTAGATTGTGCTGGGCTGGCTGGATTATCACTTTACCTGTAAACCAGAGGAAGGTGTTTTCTTTCGCTGTGTGGTCAACTTTGTCCTTAATCTGCCCTACTAGATGGTCCATCTCCCGGAGTGCAGCACGGTATGGTGTTTGGCTCCCTGGGTTTACCGATGGCTGGATCTCAGGTAAGGGCACATGCATGTGGGCCAAGCCCAAGTAGAGCAGGAAGGGTCTTCCACTGGTGCTGAAGCAAACAGGAGAACCAAGAGGTAACTGCAGAAGCCGGCCTGTCTGCTCCACGGCCTCAATGAGTCTTGCTGACCTCTGGGAAAATCCTTCACAGGGTCAGCATCCTAGGCTTAGGAAGGACGTGTTTGTCTATAACCCTATAAGCAATGTGAAAGTCATTCATCCAGCCAATAAAAATGAGGCTCACTGAAGTACTAGTTCATGTCCTTTCACAATTACTGAGAAAGTATTACAGGGGACTCTTGTTGTCTGTGTTCATGCTCATAAGAACCCCCAAACTCCCCATTTCAGACAGTGAGTCAGAAGCTAAATGAGACAAAAAGACTTGTCCTGGGTCTGTCTCTAACTAGTAAAGGGACAGTCTGGATTTGAACTTGGGACTGGCCAAGAACAAAGTCCTATACTCTAAACAGCTGTACTTTGAATCTAACTTATCGTGTCCCTTCAAAGAATGAGTGGAAGCTGGGCATGAGTAGCTCATGCCATTTATCCCAGCTATGCACAGGCTGAGATCTGAGGATCCCAATTTGAAGGCAGCTTAGACAGGCAACTCCGGGAGACTCTTACTTCCAATTAATCACCAAAAAGCCAGAAGTGGAAGGGTGGCTCATGTGGTAGAGTACCAGACTTAGGTAAAAAAGCGAAGGGATAGTGCCCAGGCCCCAACACACACACAAACACACACACACACACACACGCACACACGCACGCACGAGCAATGAAGGGAAGGCTCAGATGACCATGGGGAATCTCAAAGGTTCACAAGATGCCAAGGGATATTTAAATCAGGTATCTGTTTTATACTAACCCTGATTCCCTGCAGAATGTCAGGCTTGGAGGAGCTGGGATGGTCTCCACTGGTACCACTCTGAAAGCTGTCTGTCCCCATTCCATGCCACACATGGAACTGTCACCCCACCCTACTTTTCCTCTTCCACCTTCAAGGAGCCCCTTCCCACCGGCGGGGGCAATAAAGAGGACACAGAAGGATAATGAGTGCACTCAGCCAAGTGCATTCCTGGAAGCTGGCAGTGATGGCTCACACCTGTAATTCTAGCTACTCAGGAGGCTGAGATCATGATTCCAATAAAGTCCAAGAGACTGTATCTCCAATGAACCCATAGTAAAGTCCAAGAGACTCCATCTTCAATGAACCAGCAAAATGCCAGATTGAAGGCATGGCTCAAGTGGTAAAGTACCAGCCTTGAGTGAAAAGGCCAAGCAAGTGGTAGAACTCCAGCAATCCAAGCATGCAGGAGACCCTGATTTTTTTTGGGGGGGGAGGGAGGCAGGGAGTGAGAGATATTAAGAGAGAGGTAACAGAAGCCGAGTACTTTTGATACTGGCACAGCCAGAAATCTGACTCATTTAAGTTAAATTCAGGAAAATTAAGTAAAATTAAAAATCCAGCGCCTCCTGTGTCACAACACAGATCAGCCATAAGGACGCTGCGCTAAATGAAATGAGCTAGTCATGAAAGCACAGATACTGAAGTGTTCCACTTGCATGGGATCCTCAGAGCACTTAAATTCAGAGACAGAAGTAGAGTAGCAGAGTGACCTGGGAGTTGCAAGGGAAAGAAAAGGCAGTTCATGTTTAACGGGTACACAGTTTCCTTTAGGAAAGGTGAAATGTTCTTAAAACAAAGATTAGAGATACAGTATACTTAGTGCTGCCAAATACCACATTAAACACACATACACAGGACACAGACATGGACACGGACATGATAAATTATACAGGACTCTAGACATTCACTGAAGCCAAAGGAGGGTACAAATAGGAGTGGATGACAAAGGTTGAATAGCTATGTGCGTATGACATATAAAATAATATGTTATGAGGGCTGGGAAGGTGGCTCAGTGGTAGAGCGCTTGCCTTGCATGCATGAGGCCCTGGGTTCGATTCCTCAGTACCACATAAGCAAAAAGAAAAAAGCCGGAAGTGGCGCTGTGGCTCAAGTGGTAGAGTGCTAGCCTTGAGCTGAAGAGTTGAGGGACAGTGCCCAGGCCCAGAGTTCAGGCCCCACAACCGGACCCAAAAAAACAAAAATAAACAAAAATAATATGTTATGAAATGAACTCCACAAAAAGGAAACAAGAGCTATTTTTTCAGTTGACACTGTTTTTGTTTTCTTTTCGTTTTGTCTCCTTAGTTTATTTGTATTTGGAAGGGTAAAGGGGAGGCACAGAAGAGGTGGAACAAAGGGTGAACAAATACAACCGTGGTAGTCATTAGACACTATGTGGAAAATGAACTGTGCATCCTGTGAGTGTGGGGATGGGAGGGAAAAACTGGGAAAGAGCAAGGGAAGGAGAGACACGGTTCAAAAACAATTGCACTCATGACCTGATTCATATAACTGTAACCCCTCGGTGTATCAACTCTACAATGGCAATAAAAAAATAAAAATAAAATGGTGAAGAGAATAAATATTATGTCACACATATGTGCATATATACACTTGCAGTGTATGTATCTATATTGTACATGTATCTCATCGTGTATGTATAGGTATAGTGTGTGTGTATTATATGCATATGCATATGTATAGGTATAGTATGTGTGTATTATATGCATATGCATATGTATGTGTATAGGGTACGCATACACAGCCTTCTATAACTTCGGATTCTGCACGCATGGTTCCAAGCAACCACGGATGGGAAAAAAAATTTAGATAGAAAAAATATCATGTCTGTATTGAACATGGACTGACTTTTCTCTTGTTACTATTGCCTAGACAATACTATATAACAACTATTTATGTAGAATTTAGATTGTATTAGATGTCACCAATCATCTAGAGATGATGTAAAGTGTACCATATTATGGAAAGAACTTAAACATCCCTGGATTGGGGGACAAGGGGTCTAGGGGTCCTGGAACCAATCCTCCACAGACATTGGGGGGCAACTATGTAATACAATAAAATACTCTCACCCTGCATTTTGGGGGCCCTTACCTCAACTCAAGTGCTCGGTACCCACAGATAGCTAGCGGTACCACAATGCACCGTGTGAATGAGCACATGCCTGAGTTGGTGGCCATTTTCTTATAGCAACAATAAGATCCTAATACCCTCTGCTGACTAAGGAATCCAAGAAATGCCTTCAGTGTCCCCACACACAGTGGGCAGGCCCTACCTTCAAGGAAGTCCTCCTGTAGGAGAAGACAGAATGCCCATGGCATCAAAGCAGGACAGGTAAGCCCCCAGGAATCCTGAGGAACTTCTACTCTAGGACTAGACATCCCAGAGGGACTTTTTGCCAGTTTTATGTAGAAGACATGTGTGCGTCCTTCTTTACTGCATGATAGCCTGGAACGTGCTGGGGTCGTGGTGTTTGTGGAAGAGTGGGCTGGAGCTGGGTTAGTACAGGAGGCAGGGGCTTCTCACCTAGCCTGCTGGATGAACTGGGCTGCTTTCTCTGCGTACTTCTCTGCAAGGCTGCTCAGGTTCACAGGCTGCTCCACGATGTTGAGGTTTTCATAAAGAGGAAGGGCCACCTCTGTGTAACAGTCTCTCTCCAGGCTCCTGGGTGGAAAGCACAGATAGAGGCGTGTTCATTTCCACAAGCTGAGTAGGCACAGAGCAGAACAGAAGGTGACAGGGAGAAATCTGAAGCACTTAGTGGGATGGCTCCTAATAGCTTAGCCAGTCCATCACTTCCTCCAAACATAAAACCAGCATCAGCATCACACACCTTCCTCCATTCCCTCTGAACAGATGTGGGTACTCCCGGACAAGCCAGCTATTCTGTAAAGTTCACTAGGATGCCTACAAATGCCGGCTTTGCAGGGAGATGCAGCAGGGGTCTAGCAGGCTAGGGGATTTCAAGGCAGGTCCTCCAGTCCACTAGCAGCCCCATCGTTGGCTTTCTCTATGTCCAACCCAAGCGACAGCCTCTTTGACCAGCAGGCAATACCTAGTTTTGTCCTATGTCCATGATCAGGCCTTGAGATCACACGGTGTTTGGCCATCAATATATAAGATGGCCTGTAACAATGTTAAGTCTTTTTTGTGCCAATACTGAGGCTTGAACTCAGGGCACGTGGGCACTGCCCCTTACCTATTTTGCTCAAGGCTGTTATTCTACCACTTGAGGTACAGTTCCACTTCTGGCTTTTTGCTGGTTCACTGGAGATAAAGAGTCTCATGGTTTCCTGCCCACTCTGGCTTCGGAACCGGGATTTTCAGATCTCAACCTCCCAAGTAGCTAGGATTGCAGGCGTGAATCACCAACACCTGGCCGTCTAATTTTAATATGGATTAAAAGACTTGTTAGCACCAGAGAGAGAGACAATGAGAGACTGGCCATTACAACTCATACCTTGATGTATTACCAGGTGCACTTACAGATATAACACTCATACCTCAGTTAGGGAGGCAGAAACAGATGCTGTCCACTTGTAATATGTACCTGAAGGGCCTGGGAATCTCATTAAAATGCAGTTCTGGGGCTGGGCACTGGTGGCTCACACCTGTAATCCTAGTTACTCAGGAGGCTGCAATTTGACGATTATAGTTCCAAGCTAGCTTTGGCAGGAAAGTCCAGTGAACTTCTTTTTTGGGGGGAGGTGGGAGAGGGGGTCCGGTTGTGGGGCCTGAACTCTGGGCCTGAGCGCTGTCCCTCAGCTCTTCAGCTCAAGGCTAGCACTCTACCACTTGAGTCACAGCGCCACTTCGGCTTTTTTTCTTTTTGCTCTTGTGGTGCTGAGGAATCGAACCCAGGGCCTCAGGCATGCAAGACAAGAGCTCTACCACTGAGCCATCTTCCCACCCCTGAAATTCTTATCTGTTTAAACACCAGAAAACCAGAAGTGGGACTGTGGCTCAAAATGGTAAAGCACTAGCCTTGAGCAAAAGAGCTCAAGGACAGCGCCCAGGCCCTGAGTTCAAATCTCATGACTGACTGACCAAAAAAAAAAAAAAGAATGCAGACCTGGGGTCAAGTCTGAATTCTTACAGTTCCAATGAGCAACCAGCTGATATCTACAATGCTGATCCAACCACCAGCAGAGAGGACATGGGCTCTGGACTCTGAGGGGCCCACACTGGAATTTCCATTCATCTCTTACTAACTCCGGTGTGAACCGAACCAAGTTCAAGCTCCTTACCTGTAAAGTAGGTAAATGACTGCCTCACACAGGAATCATGGGATTACAGGGAAGTGTAGGTAGTTCCCAGAATGCAACCATTTCCAAATAAATAGCCATAACTACAGTAACTATTGTGGATTAATGAGCCAGCTGAGCTTCAGTAAGCAACTTAGACACCTGTGGCCCTAGAAAGAACCTAAGCGTAGACTGAGCAGTGGCGCTCAGCGCCAGCATTTACTTACTACCTACATAAGGCTTAGCATCCTTTCTCCTCATGATTCCATTGCTCAATCATGCAGAACATTCAGGAAATACAAAGAGAAAAACGGATACCCTTTCCATTTCACAAGCTGAGTGAGCCCTTAGCAACATTCTGTTTCATCTCTCCAGACTCTCTCTCTCTGTAATGCCACAAAGGTATGGATGCAAATCCAGGGTCTGGTGGCTCATAACTGTAAGGATTACAGTCCTAGCTACTTGGGAGGCTGAATTCTGAGGATCTTGAACAGCCAAATCCAAGAGACTCTTATCTCCAATTAACCACCAAAAAATTGGAAGTGGAAGTGTGGCTCAAGTGGTATAATGCCAGCCTGAAGCAAAAAGAAGCTAAGCAAGGTCCTGAGTTCAATCCCAGGGAAGTACCAGCACAGGAAAGGAAAACAAAAACAAAAACAAAGATATGAAATAGAGGTCGCGAGCATCGCACTGATGACCTGCTTCCGGCTTTTTACGTACGGTTACATCATGTGCATTTTCCCATTTCGTTAAACTTATTCCTGAAAACATCCTGTTCGGTGGCTGGATAGCATTCCAATGTCAAGACTTGTCTGATGAGTAGAAGCTCTCTCTCAATCTCTTTCTCCTCCTCCCCTCCTCTCTTTCTCAATCTTTCTCTCCTTCTCTCCCCTCACCTTTATTCTCTTTTGTCTTGTTCCTCTCTCCCTTTCCCTCCCTCTCCCCCCTCCTGAGGTCAGATGAGTGGTACAGGAACAAAGCCAGCAGGAAGAGGGTAGAAGTCCCCTCTGCCAGAGGCCTGCATAGTTCAAAGCTCTCTCCAGCTGAGCTAAACAATCCAAGACACCTGGGGAAAATTCTTACAGGAAAAAAAAAAGTCATCTCTCTCCTCTTTGTATCCAAATAATGCAAATAATGCATTTACAGATCCCTGGATGTATTTGCTGTCTAGACTCTCTGCCATCTGCATCTTCTCCTTTGGATATCCCCTTGTTCTTGGACATGAAATGTTGAATGGCATTACCTGGATGAGCCAGCGTCCAGTGGACATGGCGGACAAGGAGGGTGGTTATAGCCCGGGGTATCAGTACACCCCATATCATGGCTGTATGGAATTCCAAAGTAGTAATCAAAACCTGGAAGAGAAACATCTGGTTAGTGCCCCTCCCCCACACTCAGCTGCTTCTCAATGTGCCCGCCTTCTTCACACCAGTGAAAAAAATTAATTTCCTATGATTTAATATTGTGGCACTCTGGAGTATGTAATTAAAAAAGGATTTGATTAATATCCTTTTTTGAACTAAGCTGGGAAAAATCACTTTGCTGGGTTCTGGCTGTAAGACTAGATTTGCAAAACATCTTGTGATTAGAGTTAACCTAGCATGGGGTGGGGGGCAGGGAGTAGATGGATGGATTATTGAGTGTCTGCCATCATCGGTTAAACAGGCACACTTGGTGACAATCAGCTACACATATGACACTTTAAGGCTGGGAAGGTGGCTCAGTGGTAGAGCACTTGCCTTGCATGCTCAAGGCCCTGGGTTCGATTCCTCAGCACCACATAAGCAAAAAGAAAAAAGCCGGAAGTGGTGCTGTGGCTCAAGTGGTAGAGTGCTAGCCTTGAGCTGAAGAGCTGAGGGACAGCGCCCAGGCCCAGAGTTCAGGCCCCACAACCGGACCCCCCCCAAAAAAATAGAAAAAAAATTTTCACATCTTATGGGAAAATAAAGTATATAGGTGAAGTCCTAAGAGATGAGCAGGTGAGCTAGGGGTGGAAGTGTATGCCTATAATTCCAGCATTCAGGAGGCTGAGGAAAGAGCATTGAGAGTTCAAGGCCAGCCTGGTCAAGAAAGAAAGAAGAAAGAAAGAAAGAAAGAAAGAAAGAAAGAAAGAAAGAAAGAAAGAAAGAAAGAAAGAAAGAGAAAGACAGAGAGAAAGACAGAGAGACAGGTGGGGTGGGGTGGGAAGAGGGGGGCCGGCAGGGGCAGGAAGAGAAGGCAAACTAACAAGGCAGATTAGAGAATGAAGTTATTCCCAGATGTAGGGATGTGATGGGCTGGGGCAGGACTCTCAAAATGTCTCTTGAAGAATGGACATTGTTGCCAGCAGCCTTCCCTAAGCACCTGGGAAACTGTGTCAGCTCTCTTGATTTCCCTAGTAGTCAACAGAAATCAGATCTCCGGGAGTTTTATCTGCCCACAGCCTGGAACTCCAGGCCAGGTAAACAGGGAGTACTGCCTCCTCAGCTTGGTCTTCTGTCCTTGTACATACCACAGCCACTCAGAAACACATTTCCTACTAACCCAGCTATCTCCAATTCCCAGAGTGCCTTGCACATGAAGCCGCTATGGCTCTGTGAAGCTGTACCAGGGATGTCCAGTGGGTTCTGGTGTAAAGTCTCCTACAGAATGTCTGCTCCACTCTTGCTCCCTTCATAGTCCCAGCCCAGCCTGCAGACTTGCTGTCAGCATGGTGACCTGAGTCTTCCCCATCACTGCCATGCTCCTGGAGCTGGGACATTACATCTTCAGCCACCCCGTAAGTGGTGGTATATATGGAATAGCTGGTAAATGTGAGCAGTAGTGGGGTTAAAAATGCGAGTTCCATGCTGCCCTGGTGTGTATCAATAGAGCTGGAAACCCCATAGATTAGTGGCCCAGCCCTGGCTGCACTTGGTATGAAGATGAGACCAGAGCCAGAGTTAATATCTTGGGTTTTTATGGGCTGGGCCCATAAAAGCTGTTGAAGCTTCTCAACTTTGCTGTGGAAGTAAAAGAGCACCCACAGACAATATGTCCACAAATGCATGGCTGTCTTCAATAAAACTTTATTTACAAAAACAGACTTGGGGCTGGGATGTAGCTCAGTGGCAAAGGGCTTGCCTAGTGAGTGCTGGGTTTGATCCCCAGTACCAAAAAAGAAAAGACAAAATATATATATATATATATATATGCATATATATACATATATATGTATATATATACATATACATATATGTGTGTATGTATATATCTATACAGTTTTTTTTAAAAGATCCAAACAGAAACAGACTTGCATACTAGATTTGGGCCATAGGTCTATATCAACTCCTGGTCTAGATAACAGATATTGTTTTCTGGATTCTCCTTCTGCGAAATGACCCAGGGAAAGAAGAGCCTTGGAGACATGTGAGGAACAGGGGACTGTGTGGATGATCTATGGCAGGTGTGGAGAAGCAGCAGAGGTTTGTGGGAACTAGACAGTACTCATGGGCAGGGTAAAACGAGGCAGGAGGGGATGGGAGATACGAACCAAGATAATTCAAGTGTCTACATCAGAAGGCTTTTTGAGACTGTCTGATCCAGGGATAGCAAGTATGTAGGAGGTGTTTCTCTCTCTCTCTCTCCCTCTCTCCTTCTCTCTCTCCCTGTTTCTACTTCCCATTCTCCTGGCATACTCAAAAAAAAAATCTAACATGGCACCACTTCCTTGGGGCAGGACTCAGTCTCAGTATCCCTCCCTCCTCAGCATCAGGATTCTGGGAATAAGGACTCACGGTGTCAAAAGTGTGATCCAGTCCAACCCATCACAAGCCAAATATGAATCAAAGACCAAGGGGGAAAAGCAAGACTCCTTCACAGAGCATGGAGAAATCAGGTCTTCACTTTTTCTTTTGGCCATTTTTCAAAAGCACATCTGGAAGAACAATCTGCCAGTTCTAGAACAAGGGCAGGCAGGCGGCCCTTCTTCAGAGAAAATAGGGAGAGCCATTGGGACTAGGGGCGAAGGAGGTGAGGGGTCTGCAAAACAACCAGAGAAGCACATTTAAGGAAAAGGCCAGCTGCATGGTTATAAAATGGCCAGAGGAGGGGCTGGGAAGGTGGCTCAGTGGTAGAGTGCTTGCCTTGCATGCCTGAGGCCCTGGGTTCCATTCCTCAGCACCACATGAGCAAAATGAAAAAAGCCGGAAGTGACGCTGTGGCTCAAGTGGTAGAGTGCTAGCCTTGAGCTGAAGAGCTGAGGGACAGCGCCCAAGCCCAGAGTTCAGGCCCCACGACTGGACCCAAATAAAATAAAATAAAATAAAATGGCCAGAGGAAAGGGGAATGGATAGGTGGGGCCCTGGATAAGTGAACAGCCACATAGACTGATCTTATAGTATCATGCTTCTAAGAGAAAATCCAGGTTGTGGGGCATGGCTAAAGTGGGAGAGCACCTGTCTAGCAAGCTTGAGGCCTTGAGTTCATCCCTGTACAATGCTTAAGGTTATTTTTGTTGTTGTTTTGTTTCTGCTGGTCTTACAGCTTGAACATGGGGCCTGGGACACTGCATTGTCTCTTAGCTTTTTTGCCCAAGGCTAGTAGTCTACCACTTAAACCACAGCTCCACTTTGTTTTTTTTTTGTTTTGCCAGTCCTGGGGCTCTGAACTCAGAGCCTGGACACTCAGTAGCCTGAGCTTCTTTTGCTCAAGGCTAGCATTCTACCACTACTTGAGCTATAATGCCATGTCTGGCTTTTTCTGTTTATGTGGTACTGAGGAATCGAACCCAGGGCTTCATGCATGCTAGGAAAGCACTCTACCACTAAGCCACATATCCAGCCCCACTTCTACCTTTTTAGTGGCTAACTGGAGATAAGAGTCTTACAGACTTTCCTGCCTGGGTTGGCTTTGAACTATGATCTTCAGATCTCAGCTAGGATTAAAGAAGTGTGGGCTGGGAAGTTGGCTCAGTGGTAGAGTGTTTGCCTCGCATGCATGAGGCCATGAGTTCAATCCTCAGCACCACATAAGCAGAAAAAAGCCTGAAGTGGTGCCGTGGCTCAAGTGGTAGAGTGCTAGTCTTGAGCTGAAGAGCTGAGGGATAGCGCCCTGGCCCAGAGTTCAGCGCCCAGGACTGATCAAAAAAAAAAAAAAAGATGTGAGCCACCTGCCCCTGATTCAAACGTTAATAAGTCCTTTTACACACTCAATCTTCTTTTCTGTCTCCTAAGTAATGAAGCTATTCTTACCTCGGAAGTTGGGGTGATAAGAGCCATGGTGCCCAAGATGCCATTTACCTGTGCAAAAATAAAGAGACTTCAGAGGAATCCCCAGAGGGATGCCCACACGCTGAGTAGCCTGTCCCACACTCAGTTCTCCATCAGCTTCACGGCCAGCCAAGAAGGCAGACAAGCTGGCTTCATCTAGGACTGTCTAGGACCCACAGGGACTGAGCAAGAAAGACTCACAACGACGTAGGAAAGCCGCATGCAGAAGGGAGGCCAGGCCAGGCCAGCATGAGGAGCACCCTGAGCCTCTGCCCTCACAGAGGCTCACGCAGTAGCCACATATAGACCAGAGCAGTAGGCCCAGGATGCAGGTGCCCATGCTGCAGAGTCTCAAAGGCCCCTTCCCTCCTAGCTTCATCTCATCTTCCGCTCAAGGGCTGAGACACCCACAGTGTAGCAAATGAGAAAGCTCAGCCACCTGCTGCTCAGCTTGGTAAACGCATCAGGTCTGGGGAAGTAATTGGGGCCGCATGGCAGACTGACCAGGTCAGAACCTCTGATCTGTTCATTCCCTTTCAGGGTAAGACTCCAGGAAAATGAATCCCAAGGTGAGCAGTTAGAGAAAATGGGATACAAAGATCTAAACAGGGGCACAACTCAGAAACACAAAGGAAAGAAACTAACGGGTAACCAAAGGAGGGTGGCTAAGTAAATGATCAGATAGGGCCTCTATAAAAAAGTCTACCAACTCATTTTTTAAAGACAAATTCAATATTAACAATCAAATCAGGTGTGGTTGGTGGTGCACACCTATAATCCCAACACTCAAGAAGCTGAGGAAGGAGGGCTGAGAGTTTAAGGCCCACCGGGGCTAAATAGAGACCCTGTCTTGAAGAAGAAGGAGAAAGAGAAGGAGAAGAAGGAGCCTGGTAGGATGCTTCACTCCTGTAATCCTAGCTACATGAGAGGCAGAGATCAGGAGGATCATGGTTCAAGGCCAGCCCAAGAAAAAAAGTTAGTGAGACTCCATCTCAATCAGTAAGTTAGACATGATGGTACGTATCTGTGACCCCAGCGATGTGGGAGGCCATTGGTAGGAGGATCTCAGTCTGGGGTTGGCCCTGGCCAAAAAGTGAGACTCTACCTAGAAAATAATCTGAAAGCAAATAATAATAATAATAGGGGTTGGGAAGGTGGCTCAGCGGTAGAGTGCTTGCCTTGCATGCCTGAGGCCCTGGGTTCGATTCCTCAGCACCACATAAGCAAAAAGAAAAAAAAGCCAGAAGTGGCGCTGTGGCTCAAGTGGTAGAGCACTAGCCTTGAGCTGAAGAGCTGAGGGACAGCGCCCAGGCCCAGAGTTCAAGCCCCACAACTGGACCCCCCCCCAAAAAAGAAAAGAATCTGAAAGCAAATGATAATAATAATAATACTCTAAAAGCAAAAAGGGATAGGGGTGGCTCAGGCAGCAAATTCTCACCTAGCAAGCCCCAGGCCCTGAGTTCAAAACTCCAGAACTGCCAAAATAAAAAACAAAAAACAAAAACAGTCAGAGAATCTGGATGGGGCTCCGTGAGAGTCCCTTACTCTCTTCCTGCAACTGATCCACAGGTTTGAGAGGGAAAAAAAGAAAAATCTTAACAAAAATTTGGAAGACATGGATTTAGGCATGACATGGAAATACAAACTGATATCAAAATTATTATTTTAATTCCAAAATTATAATAAGGATGAAAAGTTGCTTCAATACTTTATTTTTTATGATTTATTCAGTGACATTTTTGTTGTTGTTATGTGGTACCAAGGAATTGAACCCAGGGCCTCATGCATGCGAGGCAAGCACTCTACCGCTAAGCCACCCAGTCCCATAAAAAAAAACAAAAAACAAAACTGTAAGGATAAACAAGGTAAGGTGAGGAGTTGAGTGGTATCCTAGACACAGATTAGTAGCACAGTGTGTGTGTTGTTTGTTTGTTTTCCGGTCATGGGGCCTGAACTCTGGGCCTGGGCGCTGTCCCTCAGCTCTTCAGCTCAAGGCTAGCGCTCTACCACTTGAGCCACAGCGCCACTTCCGGCTTTTTTCTTTTCTGCTTATGTGGTGCTGAGGAATCGAACCCAGGGCCTCAGGCATGCAAGGCAAGCGCTCTACCACTGAGCCACCTTCCCAGCCCGACAGTGTGAGTGTTGTGAAAGGGACTATTCTTTTAGCAGATTTTACCCTTTCCTCTAAGTGTGCTTTAGTTCATGATTTCAAAAATCTCCTTTCCAGGACAACCAAAGGAGAGAGGAGAGAGGGCAGGGTGGAAGCTGACCAGGGGTCCTGGGAGAGGCTGTTTTACTAGACAGGCACAAGGGGCGGGGTTTGTGGGATGGAGCCCCACCCCTATTTAGCATAGGCTTCTTGGCCACGCCCATCCTGGCAGTGCCTGTAAGTTGCCCCTCCCCCCCAGTGGGAACTGAGTGTGGTTGTTTTGGTGTCAATGTTGTTGGAGTAATTTTACCTTGGGGGATTGAGAAGGGGGAGAAAGAGACTGGAAAGAGAGGAGGCTGGATCTTAATTGGCCCCTCCTCCAACTGATGGAGGCTGGCCCTTCTGGGACAATACCACCCCTTCAGTTGGAGCACAATGACAAGAAATTCTTTAGGCCAGAGGAGGGGGTACAGACAACACTAGAGGTGCCAGGCCTTGATTCTGGTAAAGCAGCCTCCAACAGGTGAACAGGGGAGGCTGCAGGCACTGGTGGCTCATTCACAAGGGCCTTGGCTGTCACCTGCCGGTTGGCACACCCTCCCATGCCACTTCACTGCGGTGGAGAGAGGCAGGAATCCCGCTGGAGTGAGCTCTTTGAGTGACTAACAATCAGAGGCTGCCCCTGGGGAGGCTGGAGGGACGGCTGGGTTGTCTCAGCCTCTGCAGGAGGCCCATGGAAAAAGAAGGCAGCAGGCCCTCCAGACCCAGCCTCGATCCTGGTAGAGGCCAGGAAGCAAGGCCTCTCACCAGCCAGAAACAGTCCTGTCACTGCACAATTAAGAAACATCACATGCATGGAACACAGTAAATGTCAGCACTTAAAGACGTGACTTCACAATATGCATGCATGCATGCATGTATGTATGTACTACTTACATACACATGGATATACGTATGCCAAGACCTGGGAATGTGTTTTCTCTTCCTTCCTTCCTTTTTCTTCCATCCTTCATTCCTTCTTTTTCTTCTTTCCTTCCTTTTTTCCCTCCTTCCTTCCTTCCTGCCTGCCTTCCACCCTCCCTTCTTTCTTTTCCTTTCCCTCCTTCACTCCCATCCTCCCTTCTTCCCTCCATTCCTTTCTATGGCAATACTGAGAGCTTGAACTCAGGGCCTCATGCTTGCCAGACTCCCTAGATACTGCTGTGTGCTTCTAGCCCAGTTTGTGCTGGTTATTTTGAGATAGGGTTTCCCTTTCTACGTAGAGGGCCTGCCTGACCCTCAATCCACCTACTTTCAGGCTTCCCGTTGTCATTGGGATCACAAGCCTTGTCCCATCTTCTTTCTTCCCTGGGCTGGCCTGGAACTGCGAACCTACCCATCTCAACTAACCATGCAGTTCCACAGACAGACATACCACTGCACCCAGCTCTGGTTTGAGAATGGGTCTCAGGAACCTTTCTTCCTGGGCTGCCTTCAATCAGTGATCTTGCTGATCAGCTTCTCAACCTCTCAGGCATGGGCGACTGCCCTGGACTATTTGCTTTCTTGATCAAAGTAAGACACTGGAGGCTAGAACCCTTTCCTCTTACTTCTTGCTTCCTTGAGCCGAAGAACAGCCATGGGCATTGAGGTAGCAAGTACTAGGACAAAAGCCCATCCATTTTAGGGAGGGTGGCTTAGACCTTTAATCCTAGCTCCTAAGGGGGCTGAGTTCTGAGGATCACAGTTGGAGGCCACGCAGTCCCCTCTCCCACCCCCACGTAGGAAAGTCCATGAGACTCTTTATCGCCAATTAACCACCAAAAAGCCCGAAGTGGAGCTATGGCTCAAGCATTAGCACTGAGCAAAAAAGCTCAGGGACAACAACCAGGCCCTGAGTTCAAGCCCCAGTATTAACACACACACACACACACACACACACACACACACGAAAAAGAAAAAAGCAGACATGGGCAGAGAAGATAAAGGCTCTTCTGCAAGCAGGAAGCAGCCAGATAAACACAGAGGGCACAGCACCCAGCGTTACCTATCATGCCGGTGACATAGCCAGCCTGCCGCAGCACCTCAGCTAAGGTGGTCTCGTTGAGTGGAAGGCCCCCCACAGATGTGACCGCAAAGTTATGTGTGACTCCATTGCGAAGGCCAAGCCGGCCGGTGAGCAGGGAGGCTCGGGAGGGCGAGCAGGTGGAGGCCGCTGCGTGGAAGTCCACAAACCTGTGTGCAAAGGAATGAGATCAAGACCTTGACAGCCACATGAAGAGAAATCAAGAGACATGGCGACTCCCACTCAGTCCCTGAGATCCCAGTACCAGGAAAAGGCAGTCCAGAGAAGCAATGAAACCACTACCACACAGCAAATTCATATATATATATATATATATATATATATATATATATATATATATTCAATCAATCAATATATATATATATTCAATCAAACCTCTTCATTTGCAGATTCCATATTTCAAAGTAGCTTACTTACAAATGTAGGGGGCTAACCCTCAAATGAGTACTTGAGCCTCTTAGAATTATTCCTGGATAGACACAGAACTGCAAAATAAATAAATCAACAAATGACTTTGCCCAAAGGACAAATTGCCAGCTGAGGTGCAATGGTATGACTTCCTATTTCAGGTTGCACACCACAATGTCCCTTTTGCTGTGACATGTTTGTGTGTGTGTGTGTGTGTGTGTGTGTGTGTGTGTGTGTGGTGTGTGCATGTGTGCACAGCTTGAACTCAGGACCTCCTCTCACTCTCAAGTGGCTTTTTCGCTCAAGGCTGGTGTTCTACCACGTGAGCCACACCTTCAGTTCTGCTTTTAGTGGTTAATTGGAGATGAGTCTCATGGACTTTTCTGCATTGGCTGGCTTCTAACTGTAATCCTCAGATCTCAACCTCCATAATAGCTAGAATTACAGGCATGAGCCACCAATGAGTGCGAGATTAGACTTGGGCTTTTTGTTGGTAATTTTACCCCCAAAATGCTTCAAGTGAAGTGTTGAAGACTACTGTTCTGAAGCTCAAGCAGGCTGTGGTGTGCGCTTCACGGAGAAAATGATGTGTGAGATGTGCTCAGTGCTATTGTGGAGTTCAATCCTAAAGAATCAGAAATGGGCATTAAAGAAGTACAATGTCAGCCGGTGCCCATGGCTCATGCCTGTAATCCTTCCTAGCTATTCGGGAGGCTGAGATCTGAGGATTGTGGTTCAAAGCCAGCCCGGGCAGGAAAGTCATAAAACTCATCTCCAATTAACCACCAGAAAACTGGAAGTGGTGCTGTGGCTCAAGTGGTAGAATGCTAGCCTTGAGCTGAAGAGCTCAGGGACAGTGCCCAGGCCCAGTTCAAGCCCCACAACCAACAACAACAAAAGAAGTAAAATGTCTTTAAACAACACACTAAACATGACTGTGTATCTTTTTGGGGGGGAGGGTACTGGGGCTTAACTCAGGACCATTCTCTCACTTGGCTTTTTCACTAAAAACTAGTTCTGTACTATTCAAACCATTCCTCCAGCTCAGCCTTTTGCTGGTTAATTGGAGGTAAGAGTCTCATGGATTTGTCTGCCTAAGCTGACTGAACTGTGATCCTCAGATCTCAGACTCCAGAGTAGCTAGGATTACAGATATGAGCTACCAGCACCTATGGTTTAACTTTTGTATCATGGAAGTGTCTGATTTGAAAATAAATCAATTTAATTGCAAAGGAAAACTAAGCAGAACCTATTAAAAAAATAAAAGTGCAGCAAGCAAGCCCTACTATATAAAAACTTGCTAATAAGACCACCAGGAAAGCATCCTTTCAAGTGATATTAGCTGCACATCCAGCTAGATGTCCAAGTGGAATCTAATTGAAGGACCAATATTTTTCAGAACTATAAGAAGCCCAGAAGCTGTACCCTTCGTTGAAACATTGTTACTCAGATTTTGAAAATAATATATATACGTATATATCAGAATAAAGCAAATAAGTAATTATATTAATGTTCCTACAGGGAGCCAGGGTTTCAGTATGACAAAATAGAAACAAAGAGATAAAAGTAAAAGAAGATGAGTCCTACAACATGAAAATAACTCACAAGGTCCTCGTGGAGCTGAGGACACAGTACAGCAATAGAGACCTTTGTAGCATGCAAAGGCTCTAGCTTTGGTCTCCAGGACCACAAAAACAAATAGGTGGGTACCAGTGACTCACACCTATACCCTTAGCTACTCAGGAGACTGAGATCTGGAGGACTGTGGTTCAAAGTCACCAGTTCAGGCAGAAAATGCCTTGAAACTTTGTCTTCAATGAATAAGCAAAATGTTGAACTGGAAGCATGTCTCAAGTGGTAGAGCACTGATCTTGAGCAAGAAAGCCAAGCAACAGTTTGAGACACTTTGTTCAAGTCCTAGTACTAGCTAATTAATTACTTAATTAATTAAAAGAGAGGAAATGTTATTTTAAATGCATGAACATATATATTTCCTGGCCGCTATTAAGTGAAAGACTCCTCTGTCAATGAATATATTCCTGCCCAGTCCGCAAAAGGAATCAAAACTATGAGGAAAGGGAGTGAGTCTAGGGCATCTTGTAGCAGATTGCAAAAATCCAAAACAGGGGCTGGGAAGGTGGCTCAGTGGTAGAGCGCTTGCCTTGCATGCCTGAGGCCCTGGGTTCGATTCCTCAGCACCACATAAGCAAAAAAAAAAAGCCGGAAGTGGCGCTGTGGCTCAGGTGGTAGAGCGCTAGCCTTGAGCTGAAGAGCTGAGGGACAGCGCCCAGGCCCAGAGTTCAGGCCCCACGACCGGACCAAAAAAAAAAAAAATCCAAAACAGCTTCCAGAAAGATCTCAGAGAGGCTGCTGCTGGCCGGCCAAATCTGGGGCAATTTGGACATCAAAAGAATAACTACTATAGCTTACTATAAACCATGAATAAATAAAAATCCATGAACCTATACTGACATTAAAGTCATTTCTCACCACTGTAGAATAGAATACCAACTTCTGCTCTAGGAATTCATAATTAGATAGGGGCCAGTGGTTCATTCATACCTGTACTCCTTGCTATTCAGAAGACTGAGATCTGAGGACCAAGGTTCAAAGCCAGCCCAAGGAGCAAAGTCTGTGAGATTCTTATCTCCAGTTAAGCAGCAAAAAGCTAGAAGTGGAGCTGCTGCTTAAGTGGTAGAGAACCAGCTTTGAGTAAACAAGCTATGAGACAGCCCTGAGTTCAAGCCCTAGTACGTACACACACACACACACACACACACACACACACACATCATAATTAAAAGGAAAAGAGTTAAAGGTTTACCTGGACCCACTGGAATAAACATATCATTACTAGGCAATGAGGGATAGCGGCTTGTGCCCACAGAAGGGGCGGATAGGGTTAGAAAGCCACCAGTTCTTCAGCCTCCTGTATAACAACTGATGATCAGTGGAGACAGGTATTCATTTAGGGTCATCCTCAGGCCACTTACAAATTGGACAGAACTGACAATTAGCTCCTTATAAAGTGATTCAATCTAGTGTTGCTAGTCATAGGCCCCTGACCTCTCGTGTCTCCTGGCAGGATACAATATGAAGTTTATAAAATCAAAGAGTCTCACCAAAAATCATTTAACTGAACCTAATCAAACTTCAGGAGGTAACTTCCAGGTTAAAGGAAATACAGCTACTGGGAGAACAAATTAAATGCCACCACGAGGAAATGAATGAGCAAGTGCATACCCAGGGTGCTTCTACAAGACAAAAAGTCAATGCCAAGTCAGGTGCCAGAGGCTCAACCTGTAATCCTTAGCTACAGAGGAGGCTGAGATCTGAGGATCAAGGTTCAAAAACCAATCCAGGCAGACAAATCTGTTAAATTCTTATGTCCGATTAACCAACAAAAAGCTGGAAGTGGAGATGCGGCTCAAGTGCCAGTCTTGAGCAAAAAAGCCAAGCGAGAATGTAAGGCTTTGAATTCAAGTAGGGGGGGGAGAGAGAGAGAGAGAGAGATGGAGAGAGAAGAGAAGAGAGAGGTAGAGAGAGAGAGAGAGAAGTCAATGTTGTGGGGGAAAAAATGGAAAAATGTGGCTGAGGATGGGTGATGTTCTACGTGAAGGGAAACCAAAGAGACAAAAGGAATAATCATCCACCATGCTTGACTAGGTCTCACTTCAAATAAACTAACAGTATATCTGGGGAGGTAATTAAGGAAGCTTTAATGTGGACTGAGTGTAAGACAGTAAAGAGTCCTTGTTGGTCTTCGAGTACAATAACAAGATTATGCACAGATGGCTATGTTCGCATCTTCAGAGTGCATTCTACAGTATTTGTAGCGAAGGAATATGATGAGAAAAAATGATTCAGAGAAAAAAAACATCATAATGTATAGATGGAACAAATATAAACCAAACCAGCCAAAAAGAATAATGCCTGTCTCTTTACTGGACACAAAATGGGTATTTATAAAATGTGGGCTCATCAGACAATACCAGTGCTCTTTTTGTTTCTTGGCAACATATCAAGTCTTGCTAAAGAGACCTGGGTCTTCAGCAATCCCACTTTTGGGCATTTACCCAAATGTTCACAAACAAGACCACACTAAAGCTACCAGCACAACTATGTTTATTGCAGCATTATTTACTATAGCTAAGATTTGGAACCAACTCAGATGCCCCTCAGAAGATGAATGGATCAAGAAAATGTGGTATATATACACAATGGAATTCTATGCCTCCATCAGAAAGAATGACATTGCCCCATTTGTTAGGAAATGGAAAGACTTGGAAAAAATTATATTAAGTGAAGTAAGCCAGATCCAAAGAAACAGGTCCCATGGTTTCCATTAGTTGCAATATCTACTATATGTCTGAGTCCAAGCAGAAAAAGTCAGATAAGGTGATGTTAGAGAAATGAACCCTAAGATATGTATTCAAATGTTTTTTTTCTTTCATGTGATTGTTTCTAACACATTTATAAGATTATTTCTTTGTTGCTTTGTATGTCCCTCCCCCACAGTATAACCCCTGCTTTCACTGTATTTGATGTCGGTATAATTTGTGGAGGGGAAGGGGAAAAACAACTCGTTTAAATAGGGATACAGGTGGACCTATTGCAACAATGAGATGTACAAGTCGTTATGTTGAAAACGAATTTTACGACTTTGGTGGGGGGGAAGGATTGGGTGGGGGGGTAGGATGGGAAGGGATGGGAAGGGGAAACAAAGGAGGAGGCTACAATG